ACTGATATTATAGCTTTCAACCCATATCTCTATGAGGTATCCAAACCAGTGAAAGTAACAAATGGTGTGTTCAAAATATATGGATAAACAAATCTCTTTGTTAAAAAATCACTCTCTCGAGTAGATTCCCATATCATTCAAGTTGACGTGTTCTGAATAGCTCATCTCTGAGTCCATTCCACTTTAACACTTCAGAGTGATCAACCCGTCGAGAATTAACAACTTAGAAAATACGGACAAAAAATCTCTTTGTTAGCAACTCTATCAAGTCTACTTCCCATATCATCCAAGTTGACGTGCAAACAATGGCTCAGCTTAGAGTCCACGGCACTTTAACACTTTCAAAGTGATCAACTCGTCAAGAAGTGTCATTGGTTTTATAAAACTTGAAATGAAAAAGTAAAATATCGTTGTTACATGAAAGGTCGACTATATTTAATTTACAAACTCACCCTTTTCGTCATACACCCGAGCTAATAAAATTAGCTACTCATGACGAAAAGTAAATGACAAGAAATATAAAGTGCGATAAACAAAGATATAAAATAAATGCGAAAAGTAAATACGAAATATAAATGACGGAATATAAAAGATTCGGAAAGCGTAATAAATAAATGACGTAAATAAAATGCAAGTAAGCGTAAATAAATAAATGACGGAATATAAAATGCGATAATATAAATAAAGCGATCAAATAAAGCGATAAAAGAACTTGAAATGTAACCAAAAGATTTATAATATTAAGAACGTGTTCTTCAAGTAGCATGCAAACTACTTGAAGATAGACCAAAAGATACTAGAGAGCAAGTAGCAAGGTGTGGTAATGAGGTGTTGAGGTGTTTTCAATACTCCTCCCAACATCCCTTTTTATACTAGGGATGGAGTGAGGGTAAAATGGTCAATTTACACCCACTTAGTTCAAAAGGAACTAAAAAGTACATATTAGCAAACTAATATTTAGAAAACAACTAAATTAGTCTTGTAAACTCCAGCTAATCTGTTTAAACTATAGCTGGTTAAACTTTATAAGGCTTTCAAAGGTCTTCCCATTGTCATGTCGGTCAACTCCAAGTCTTATCTTTTTCTTCATCTACCATCAGGTCACGCTATCACATTCCCACAGCATCGACCTGCTCCAATCTGTCCAAAATAAACTTAATTTAGACCAAAATCCACTAAAAACAGGTTCATCATTTACTTCAGCATAAAAATAGATAACAGAGATAAAATGACTCAAAGTTGGGATATGAAAGCAAAATAACCTATCTAAAAGAGAATAAAAAGGTACTTTACATACTAAATACTTAGTATGTATCACACCCCCAAACTTAAACCGTTGCTTGTCCCCAAGCAACCAAAAGACAACTAAAATTGACCCAATTTTAAAATTTTGCAAGAAAATGCAGTAAGTGCATACACACATGTTGATTATGCCAAAATGCACCATGTAGCTTTCATAAATCTCAAGTAAGCAAGTCCTAACTAACCATTAGCATGAACCATAAGCTAGCTCTATTTTCTCTTTGTTATGCTCAACACATCGTATGTCTAAGATCAATAGGACTTGGAAGTAACTGGTTTACTCTCATTTGGCACATTTTTCCTCTCTTTGCCTTTTTCTCACTTTTATGCACCAACATTGATTTTTTTAAAATTTTTTGGCACTTTTGTGCTCTTTTGTTGAATGCATTTACACCTGCCCCTATGGGACATTTGTGGTGTTTTAGATCTCAAGTATAACATGAAAGCTTTGTACACTTTATGCACTTTGATCTCCACTTTTGGCACTTTGTGCTCTTTTGCGTTGCTTTGATCAATATAACCATGTTGGTACCCACCCCCAAACTCAGATTTTTCAATGTTCTCATTGGAAGTATATAAGGGGTTGTTTATGCAATGGCTACAAGTGGCTAAGATATTGAGAAAAGAACAAAGGGCCTATATCCTCTCTTAGTTGAGCATATGATGTGGATCAAAATGTGTTCCCAAGCAAAACAAGTTAGTTCTAGTGATACCAAGTGATTAGAAAGTGTAACTAAACTACAAGAATTATTTTGGTTATACAAGCATATGGCAATTATAAACATATGTTTTCTTTGCAAGAAAATAAACTAAAAAGTGTAAAAGACAATCACAGACTCAAGGAAATCAAAACAAGTTGAAACAAAATAAACAAAAGAAGCTAAAGAGGGGATGATAGAACCTGTCCTATTCCATAGGAGTAGGTGAAGTGGAGATGTTGTCCTTCAACTTCTTGCATTCTTTCTTCAGTCTAGCATTCTCTCCAAACAGCCTTGTATTTTATGCCTTTAATGCCTTCAACTTCTTTCCCAGTTTCTTCACTTGAGCACTTGTCTTTGCTTTCAATTCTTCCCTTACCAACTTGATGTCTCCTCTTGTCTTCTTCTCGGCAGCCCTTACTTGCTCAACCAACTCTCCCTTTAATCTGTCTATCTTGTCAAAGAATTCATTCCTTTGTGCTAACAAACTATCCATCAAACTGTTGTTTTGAGCAAGAAGGTTTTGCATCAAACACAACATATCACCAGCCCCATTCACCTTTTCCTTCTTCTCCCTAAGCCTAGAAATTGTCTTTATGTCAATCTTCCATTTCTCCCCTTGCTCTTTCACCATTTGATCCTCACAATACTGAGGAATTCCATTCTCCACTAACAACCGTGTGATCAAACAAGGAAAATACATCTTCCCCCTACTTCTGCCCGAGCATGTCCTAATGCTCTTCTCTATCACTCTCCCAAAGTTGATACACTTACCTGTAACTAGACAATAAAACAACAATATTCTCTCCACCAAGACTGAGCTCTCAAGTGTGGTGGGAACAATGGAGTGCCTTAAAAAGTTAATCCATACATTTGCATTGGTCGTAAGATTGTAGGCCTTAAAAGTCCTCAACATGTAGTTTGAGTGATCATCCCAAACAGCCCCTGGTTTCCCTATCTCATCAGCCACCTCAGTCAAATCTTCTATGGTCGCATGCCTCACCATTCTAGAGCAATCTGTCTTTTTAGGGGGGTCTAGGCCATACAGCCAATTGATGGCTTTAGAGTTGAACATGAAAGTCATCCCCCTAATCGATATCTTGAATATGCTATTTGCTGCTAACTCAGCATAGAACTCCCTAATTAGAGTCAGATTATAAGAAGTTGGAACCATGCACATCTGTTCCATACCAAGAGCTTCTACCACCTCCCTTATGAATGCAAATTCCCTAATGCTTTGCCTATCAAATCCCTTGTCTGGGAATCCAACCCTGGTTTGGAACCTAGCATGCATCTTTTCAGCAGCCTTAGAACTAAAACCATTGTGGGGTCTGATCAGCCTTGGAATGGTGGATGGCCTTTGGGCCTTAGCCACCTTCTTCCTCTTAGGTCTAGAGGAATGCTGTTGCGATGCTACAACATCAGTCTCAGAGTTTCTGGGTGACTAAATCACAACCCTTTGAGACCTGGTCTTCTTCCTAGGTGGTTCCTCATTAACTACTGCCTTTGACTTCTTTTTATCACATGCTTTAACCAACCTTCTTTTCTTAGACAAAACCTCAACAGGGGGTTCTTCATCCTCTTCCCCAAAAAATTCCTCATTGAGGTCGGGTATGGGGTCATGAGGAGCAACATGAGGCATATCATCCTCCTCATCCGTATCTTGCCCAGAGGCAGTCAAAAGGAGAGGCTTCCTTGGTTTTTCAATAACAGTGATGTTTTCAAGACTGCATGCCTCAATTTCCATCAAAATCTCCCCTGTATGTGCCAAAGAGGCAGGTTCCTCCTCTTCCCCAGAATCAGAAGTGAAGAGACCCTCAGTGGGTGTACTATCAAATGAGGATTGTATCTTTTGAGAAGTATCGAGTGATTCCCTGTTGGTGGTGGTCGGAGATGAAGTTGTGGCCTTCTGTGGAATCGACACAGTGGTTGGTTTCACCATTTCCTTTACTTTCTTCAGAGGGTCTGTAAATGGGATGATGGCAGCGGATGGCACCATTTGGAGAGGAGGCATGACTATGGGCACTTCTGGCGGAATGGTTTCGACGGCGACTGGGGTGGAAGATGGTGGCAGAGACGGCGACGGTGGCGGTGACGGTGAGTCTTCATCGATAAGGGTTGTAGAAGACTCACCCTTCTTCTTTTTCGCAAAAGGGAGTCTCTTCCCTCTCATTGCTGGTTGTCTGCATGAAGAAACAGGAGCATGCACGGCTGTGGTAGCCACCGACGATGGTGGGTCAGACGGTTGCATCGGCGGTGCCTCAGATGCCCGCGTCGGAGGTGGGTCACGGACCAGAGCTCTCTTCACTCTCGCCATTTTCGAACGTTGGTGATGGTGTGAGGCACGGTTACCAGTCAGGAGAGAGAGACAGTTAGAAAATGAAAGGGAAATGAGAGGGGAGAAAAGTGGGTGTCTTGGGATATTAAGGGGTTTTTCTTACAAAAGGTAAGGGTAAGATGGGAAAATAGGTGAGGTACCATGATGTAAGAATTGGGAGCATGCAAAAGGGAAGAGTACTTGAGTGCTTTTGATGGAGGCTTCCTTTTCTTTCAACCAGGAGCCTTCAAACACAAGTCATAATTTTGAGAGTTAATTAATATTTGACCACATGTGATGTGTTTGAAAGGTTGGTAGCAATGTCCTCTCAATGACAACTTAGTACTTTTTCTCTTTGCATATGGTACTAAACTCGACTGGCATTAAAAAGAGATGACCATTTTCTATAAAAAAAATTATTTTTTTTTAAGAATGACATCATTTCCACTCAAAATTTTCAGAATTTAAAAATTTCGAAGATTCTCCATGAAAGGCTAGGGTTTTCAGATGCTGCAGCATGACTTCAGACTCTTTGTGATGACTGACAGGACTGCAAAACAAGCAAAAATTAACGACAATATTATTAGTAATATTAATAACTATAAAAACAGAATTTAAAGCAAACATAAATATTTACATACACACATTTTGGACTTTATGAAAAGTCAAAAATACCGAAGCTTTTAGCAAAGGGTAACAAAATTCACAGAGCATAACTCTGGAATTTCTACCGGATCATGAAACGACTTCACTCTTTGACCATTAACTTTGAACACATAATTGTCCTCGAGATTGATTAGGTCAATTGCTTCGTACAGATAAACTTTATGAATGAGGAAAGGTCCAGACCAACGGGACTTGAACTTTCCTGGGAACAATTTTAATATAGAGTTAAACAAAAGAGCTTTCTGACCAGCTCTTAACTCCCGGTGTTGAATTCTTTTATCATGCCATTTTTTTGTTTTATCTTTATAAATCTTGGCATTTTCATAGGACAGATTCCTATGTTCCTCTAATTCACACAATTGGACTTTTCTTTTACTGGCAGCCATATCTGGGCACATATTTAATTCTTTGATGGCCCAATATGCTTTATGTTCAAGTTCCAAAGGTAGGTGACAAGCCTTACCAAAAACAAGCTTATATGGGGACATACCAATGGGTGTTTTAAAAGTAGTCCGGTATGCCCATAAAGCGTCATCTAACTTGAAAGCCCAATCCTTCCGGTTTAGCTTGACAACCTTTTCTAAAATTCCTTTTATTTCACAGTTTGAGAGTTCAGCTAATCCATTGGTTTGCGGATGGTAGGCATTTGCTATTCTATGGTTAATGTTGTATTTTTCAAGAACTCCACTCAACAGGTTATTTACAAAGTGGGTACCCTCACTGATTAGTGCCCTTGGGGTACCAAACCTTGTAAAAATCTGTTTTTGAAAAAATTTAACCATAGTTAATGCATCATTAGTAACACAAGCCATGGCCTCTACCCATTTAGATACATAATCAACAGCTAATAGAATGTATTGACAATGATTTGATGGGGGAAATGGACCCATGAAGTCTATCCCCCATACATCAAATAACTCTACTTCTAAGATCCCATTAAGTGGCATTTCATTCCTTTTGGAAATGCTACCACTTCTTTGACACTCATTGCATCTTTGTGCAAAATTGTGGGCATCTTTGAAGAGAGTAGGCCAATAAAAACCAGATTGTAATACTTTAGCCGCTGTCCTTTGGCCTCCAAAGTGTCCTCCATATGCTGCTTGGTGGCAATGCTGCAGAATTGCTGCTACTTCAGTTTCTGGGATGCACCTTCTCAAAATTTGATCTGCACTTATCTTAAACAAGTAAGGGTCATCCCAAAGGTAAGTTTTAGTATCATGGAGAAACTTTTTGAACATATGGCCAGAAACATTAGAAGGTCTAATTCCACAAGCCAAATAGTTTGTCATGTCAGCAAACCATGGTGGCTTTGATTCTAACACTAGAATTCTCTCATCGGGGAATGTTTCAACAATCTCCCCTTCTTCTAGGGTTTCTCTAGGCTTCTCTAATCTTGACAAATGGTCTGCAACTTGGTTGTCAACTCCTTTCCTATCCACTATCTCAAGGTCAAACTCTTGCAACAACAAAACCCATCTTATTAACCTAGGTTTAGCATCTTTTTTGGAAATCAAGTACTTAATGGCAGCATGGTCAGTGTGAACAATGACCTTTGTTCCCATCAAATATGATCTGTATCTTTCAAAAGTAAAAACCACAGCTAACAGTTCTTTTTCAGTTGTTGTGTAGTTAAGTTGTGCTTCATTCAAGGTCTTACTTGCATAATAAATTGAATGAAAAACTTTTTCCTTCCTTTGACCTAAGACAGCTCCAACAGCCCATTCACTGGCATCACACATGATCTCAAAGGGTTTGTTCCAGTCAGGAGCAACAACTACTGGTGCGGTTACTAAAGCTTTCTTTAAAGTGTTGAATGCATTTCTACATTCATCCGTAAAATCAAACTTTTGATCATGTTGCAAAAGTAAACACAAAGGTTTTAAAAATTTTGAAAAGTCTTTTATAAACCTTCGGTAAAACCCAGCATGACCAAGAAAACTTTGTATTCCCTTAACAGTAGTTGGTTCAGGTAGTTTTTCAATGATTTCAAGTTTAGCTTTGTCTACCTCAACTCCTCTTTTGGAAATTAAGTGGCCTAAAACAATTCCTTCTTTGACCATGAAATGACATTTTTCCCAGTTGAGAACCAGATCAGTTTCTTCACATCTTTCAAGACTCCTTTTTAAATTTTCCAAACAATTATCAAAAGATGAGCCATAAACTGAAAAATCATCCATAAAGATTTCTATGGATTTTTCAAGCATGTCAGAGAATATGGATATCATGCATCTTTGAAAAGTTGCAGGAGCATTGCAAAGTCTAAATGGCATTCTCCTAAAGGCAAAAGTACCATAGGGACATGTGAAGGTGGTCTTTTCTTGATCCTCGGGTGATATGGCTATTTGGTTATATCCGGAGTATCCATTCAAAAAGCAGTAATACTTTTTTCCAGCCAACCTATCTAACATTTGGTCAATAAAAGGCAAGGAAAAATGGTCCTTTTGAGTGGCTTTGTTTAGCCTACGGTAGTCCATACATATCCTCCAACCAGACACCATTCTTGTAGGGATGAGTTCATTCTTGTCATTGGTGACAACTGTAAACCCTCCCTTCTTTGGGACACATTGGATTGGACTAACCCAAGAACTACCGGCTATTGGAAAAATTATTCCTGCATCGAGCCATTTCAAAATTTCCTTCTTCACTACTTCTTTCATGACCGGGTTCAATCTTCTTTGAGGCTCTATAGATTTGAAGTTCTTTTCATCTAGGATGATCTTATGTTGACATATTGAAGGACTAATCCCCTTAAGGTCAGCAATGGTCCATCCTATGGCTTTGGTGTGCAACTTCAACATATCTACAAGCTTCTTTTCTTGATGTAAATCTAGGGTAGATGATATGATGACAGGTAATTTACCTTCCTCTCCTAGAAATGCATACTTTAAGTAAGATGGGAGTTGCTTTAACTCCAGAACAGGTGGTGAAATTATAGACGGGGTAAAATTCTTAAGCTCACTATTGTCCAACAACTCAAATGTTGCAGCATCAGATGAGACATCACCTTCTAAATCCTCAACAGTCTCATCACCTATCTCAGCACTCTCCTCCTCTTCTAACTTACAGGCCTTCCTAACTCCTTCCTCATAGCACATTGTCTCAATCTCAGTAACTCCTGAGCATTCCTCTAAGTAATCAAGGTACTTTCAACAATTAAAGACATTGAAAGTGACTTTCTAGTCTTGGAGTCTCAGGGTTAGCTCTCCCTTTTGGACATCAATCAAAGTTCCACCAGTGGCTAAGAAAGGTCTTCCTAAGATTATGGGAATATCCTTATCGGCCTCAAAATCAAGGATGATGAAGTCAGCCGGAAAGATGAATTTGTCAACCTGAACTAAGACATCCTCAATCTTACCTTTAGGATAAGCAATGCTTCTATTGGCCAATTACAAGGTGACAGTGGTGGGTCTAGCTTCTCCTATGCCTAAGGTGTTGAAAACAGACAAGGGCATAAGGTTGATACTAGCTYYTARRTCACACAAAGCTTTACCAATCTCCTTTCCACCTATAGAACAAGGAATAGTGAAACTCCCTGGGTTTTTAAGCTTGGGGGGTATTTTGTTGGTTAGAAGCGCACTACATCCCTCGGTAAGAGCTACGGTCTCATATTCGGTCAACTTTTTCTTCTTACTCAAAATATCTTTAAGGAACTTGGCATAACTGGGCATTTGCAGAATTGCTTTAACAAGAGGTATGTTGATGTGCAATGCTTTAAACACTTCCAAAAACTTTTTGAATTGCAGTTCTTCCTTTTTATTCCTTAACCCTTTGGGGAAAAGGAACATAAAGAGGAACTGGTTTTATGATAGCTTTGTTTGGTTGTGTTGAACAAGATGGGTCTAGAGTGCCTAGAGTCTTGGTCTTACTTTCTTGAGGTTCAGATGAGATTACAACTTTGGTTTTTGGACTTGTCATAACCTCATCCTCAATTGGTTTTTTCCTAGCAACTTCTTCAAGGAATAACAAAGGATAGTCCGACTTAGGAAGAATAAAAGTGGTGGTCTCAGGAGGTTGGTCATCCAAAGGTTTTGGTGGACTTTCAGAAACAAGGACCATAGGTATAGTCTCAGGTTTAGACACAACATGTTCACTTTCTTTTGGTATGGTCTCAGTTAATTCCTTACCTCTCCTAAGAGTCACTACCTTCACATGTTCTTTTCCTAGATCTCTCGGGACTTCAGTGTTACTAGGCAAAGTACCAAGGGCTCTACTATTCTGATTATAAGCAAGTTGGCTAACTTGTATTACCAGGTTTCTGATGGCAGCAGTTTGTTGATTGAGCAAAGATTGATTTTGAGTCATCATTTGCTGCTGTGCTTGGGACTGAGCCACCAGTCCTTTTATCATAGCTTCCAAGGAAGATGATGATTTGGACTGTGGAGGTGGTTTGGTCTGAAAAGGTGGTTGATTATTTTGAAAATTCTGGTGATGGTGATTCTGAGAATTAGAATTGCTTGCATGTTGCTGTTGTTGAAAATTAGGGTTTCCTAGTTGCTTATGGACTGGGGGGGTTCAAACTTGGACTATTCCATGAAAAATTTGGGTGTTGTCTCCAACTGGCATTGTATGTGTTAGTGTAAGGATTTGATCTGTTATGAACATAATTCACAGATTCAGCATTATGTGGACACAGTTCATAAGAGTGTTCCCCTCCACAACAGACACACTGCACTGAGAGGGCAGCTGGAATAGGTGATGTAACAGCTGACTGCACTCCTTGGCCAGAATTTAGATTTTTAAGCATATTGGCCATAGAAGAGAGTTGCGCTGTCAATGCATTATATGCATCAACATCATGTATTCCTGCCATCTTCTTTTGCGGTTGAGCACGTGGATCAGCCCAATGTCCATTATTAACATAAATTTTTTCTAAGATCTCATATCCTTCATTGTAGGTCATAGCTGTAAAGGCTCCGCCTGCAGTCGCATCGAGCATTTGTTTTGCCATGGGATTTAACCCCTTGTAAAACGTCTCAAGTTGAATACAGTACGAGATGCCATGGTGAGGGCATCTCCATAACAGCTCTTTAAACCTTTCCCAAGCGTCAGGAATAGCTTCATCGTCCATTTGTTTAAAAAGGCAAATTTCGTTTCTAGACTTAGCGTTCCTAGTTGGTGGGAAATATTTTCGCAAAAACTTTTCCGCCATATTACTCCATGAAGGCACAGACCCCGGCGGTAATGAATTAAACCATGCTTTTGCCCGATCCCTCAGACAAAATGGGAATAAAGTGAGTCTCAGAGCGTCATTAGACACTCCCGGAATCAGGAAAGCATCAGTGATTTCCATAAAGGAATTCAAATGTGAGTGTGGGTCCTCCGAAGGTAATTCGGCAAATTGTCCGTTTGTTTGCAACATGTGAAAGATGATCGGTTTTAGTTCAAAATGAAGAGCAGTCATATGTGGCCTAACTATCCCAGAATTCAATTGCTCAAAATCTGGGATGGCATAGTCCATGATCCTTCCATTTTTGGAATTTGCCAAATTAATGATATTCGGAGTTTGCTCTCTTGGTTGTTCATTATTTTCAGATTCCGTGTCCTTATTATGATTATTAGATGGTGTTGTTCTTGCGGAAAAATTCGGAAACAGTGGTATTGTCCCAAAGGCAGGCGGTTGATTTTCTAAATGTGGAATCTCAGGGATGATTGGGGGAGGTAACTCCATGTTGGGAGAGAGTAGAGCAAAAAATGCTCTTTGAGCTCTCCTTCTTTGGCGAAACGTTCTCTCAATATCGGGATCGAATTCAAAAATTTCCCCGCGATGTCTCCGTGACATACACTACTTTCAAAACGGTTTAAAACAGAACGAGAAAAATCAAATCTTTTACTTCACTTAAAAGAAAACTTTTAACTAACTAATCCCCGGCAGCGGCGCCAAAAACTTGATGGCGGTTGTACACCACAGGCTACAATCAGGACCAAAAGCAAGTATACAAATAGTCCCAATATCTTCTTTCAAGTAATAAAAGTGGTACAAGTACCGGATATCGTCCACAGGGATCGTAGTAAAAGTTTAAAAGAAAGTAAAGTTAAGGAAATGATTTCAGAAGGCGAATTCGAAGACTTAGATTTGAACAGAGTTAACACAACTAAAAACAGGAGATAACAGATAATAAAAGCAAACTAGGGTGTATGACTTTTCGGGTGAGATGTAAATATTATTTTCAGTCGACCAATGCTGTCAAAATGCTACAACATGAGACCATGCTGACAGATTGCTACAGCATTCAATCAGTAACAACTATTTTTTACAATTACTTTGAAGGTATTCCTCTCGGACTTCACCAATGCACTGATATTATAGCTTTCAACCCCTATCTCTATGAGGTATCCAAACCAGTGAAAGTGACAAATGGTGTCTTCAAAATATATGGATAAACAAATCTCTTTGTTAAAAAATCACTCTCTCGAGTGGATTCCCATATCATTCAAGTTGACATGTTCTGAATGGCTCATCTCTGAGTCCATTCCACTTTAACACTTCAGAGTGATCAACCCGTCGAGAATTAACAACTTAAAAAATACGGACAACAAATCTCTTTGTTAGCAACTCTCTCAAGTCTACTTCCCATATCATCCAAGTTGACGTGCAAACAATGGCTCAGCTTAGAGTCAACATCACTTTAACACTTTCAAAGTGATCAACTCGTCAAGAAGTGTCATTGGTTTTATAAAACTTGAAATAAAAAAGTAAAATATCGTTGTTACATGAAAGGGTCGACTATATTTAATTTACAAACTCACCCTTTTCATCATACACCCGAGCTAGTAAGATTAGCTACTCATGACGAAAAGTAAATGACAAGAAATATAAAGTGCGATAAATAAAGACATAAAATAAATGCGGAAAGTAAATACGGAATATAAAAGATGCGGAAAGCGTAATAAATAAATGACGTAAATAAAATGCAAGTAAGCGTAAATAAATAAATGACGGAATATAAAATGCAATAATATAAATAAAGCAATTAAATAAAGCGATAAAAGAACTTGAAATGTAACCAAAAGATTTATAATATTAAGAACTTGTTCTTCAAGTAGCATGCAAACTACTTGAAGAGAGAACAAAAGATACTAGAGAGCAAGTAGCAAGGTGTGGTAATGAGGTGTTGAGGTGTTTTCAATACTCCTCCCAACATCCCTTTCTATACTAGGGATGGAGTGAGGGCAAAATGGTCAATTTACACCCACTTAGTTCAAAAGGAACTAAAAAGTACATATTAGCAAAATAATATTTAGAAAATAACTAAATTAGTCTTGTAAACTCCAGCTAATCTGATTAAACTACAGCTGGTTCAACTTTAGAAGGCTTTCAAAGGTCTTCCCATTGTCATGTCGGTCAACTCCAAGTCTTATCTTTCTCTTCATCTACCATCAGGTCATGCTACCACATTCCCACAGCATCGACCAGCTCCAATCTGTCCAAAATAAACTTAATTTAGACCAAAATCCACTAAAAATAGGTTCATCATTTACTTCAGCATAAAAATAGATAAAAGAGATAAAATGACTCAAAATTGGGATATGAAAGCAAAATAACCTATCTAAATGAGAATAAAAAGGTACTTTGCGTACTAAATACTTAGTACGTATCAGGCTTCAAGTAAAACAATTATCTTCGGGAATTTTTATCTGTCAAAAAAAATATATTTTTTATATCCTGAAGAAATTTAATTTTAAAAATTATTCATCTATCAAAACACCTATGGCTAATGGAACGAAAATACATGCTGATCCGTCTGGAAAAGCTATAGATCAGAAAACATACCTAGGCATGATTGGTTCTTTAATGTATTTGACGTCTTGTAGACCGAATATTATGTTTTCAACACATCTTTGTGCCAGATATCAGGCTAATCCAAAGGAGTCCCATTTAAGTGTCGTTAAGGGCATTTTTCGTTATCTAAAAGGGTCTGCTAATTTTAGACTCTGGTATCCCAAGGGTACTGGTTTTGAACTGACAACTTACTCAGATGCAGATTAGGCAGGTTGTATGATAGACAGGAAAAGCACTTCGGGACATCTACAATTTATGGGAGACAAATTAGTCAGCTGGGCGTCAAAGAAACAAAACTGTGTATCCATATCTATTGCTGAAGCAGAATATGTAGCTGTTGCTAGCTTTTGTTCTCAAGTTTTATGGATGCAGACACAGCTCAGAGACTACGGGTTTTATTTTAATAAAATTCTCATTTATTGTGATTCTAAAAGTGCAATTGCTATATGCTGTAATCCTGTTCAACACACAAAGACCAACTCACTGGTATCTTGAAGTAAAGATGAGAAAGCCTTTTGTGCCCCAGCCAATTGATGTCTGACGAGACTTTAGAGAAGAAACAGTTGTTCTCAATGATAGAAGAATCCATATTGATGATATAGACATTCCCTAGGTGAGAAGCGGTCAAGGCAACCTTATCATCTTTGTCGTAGACGTAGCATGAATTCTTGGAGAATTTCACTCTGTAGTCTTTGTCACACAGTTGACTGATGCTGAGGAGGTTGTGCTTCAGTACTTCAACATATGCAACTCGTTTGAACGTGGTTGCACCATTGGTTAATATACCAAAACCTTTGGTATATCCTTTTTTGTTACCTCCAAAGGTCACGGAAGGTCCTCTTTCTTCCTTATAATTAATAAGCAGGGATTTGTCTCCGGTCATGTGCCTTGAGCATCCACTATCTAGATACCATATGCCTTTGACATCCTGAGCAGGAGAAGAGGATAAGGGATCATTTGAAGTAGATGTCTTTAAAGTTTCTTCTTTGACATCCTTGGCCAATAAGCAGAGATAGGTTGCATCTTTCTCATCAGATGATGATTCATCAGATGAATCAACCCAATCATGCTCTTCAGCGATAAAACCCTTGGCCTTTCGCTGGTGGTTCTTTATCTTCTTGTACTTCTTCTTCAGCTTCAAGTATTTATCATCCCTGGACCTAAAGGAGGATGAGGTTTTAGAAAATGGCGTCGCAGTCTTCTTGGATCTACGTTCACCTGCAAAGTGACCTGTGCGGTGACAGTTGTAGTAGATCGCTGGAACCTTGACTATTTTATCAGACTTTGGCTTTTCCTTTAAGATCAGTGAGGGAGATCTGCGGGAGTTACTTTTGTTGGCGAATCTCATAAAAGATTTAGTTAATAACGCCAGAGATTCATCAAAATCTGCAAGATCAGATTCTTATACATCCTCGGAGTTAGTAGAATCTAACTCTGTAATAACAACAGGAGGAAGAGAAAAAGAAAAAGAAGAAGGGGCTTCAGCTGAAGCTTTTTCAGAGATCAAAGCTAACTGAGAGCTCTTCATTTCTCTGGAATCTTTGATCAGATTTCTTTTCAGTTGATGAGATTGCTCATGATTAAGCAAGATCCCGTAAAAAGTAGAAAGAGAGAGAGAGAGAGAGGACATATCATTGGACATCATGAGACACTTGGAATAAGTGTCCCAAGATTCAGGAAGACATTCTAGAAACTTAGTTAAAGTTTCAAAATTAGAATATTCATTGCCTACAGTCCTAAGATCAATAAGAAGACAATTAAAAAGTTGATGTACTTCGAACAGTGTCTCAGTCTTTCCACAGAGAAAGCTTTCATACTGCCTTACTAAGTTGATCTTCCTTGATTTTTGAACCTGAGAGGTTCCTTCATATTGAACACTTAAAGTGTCCCACATGGATTTGGAGGTTCTGAATTTCATCATAGAGTGATAAACAAGAAGAGACATAACTATTATAGACCTAACACGAATGTGTATAGCGATTTTCTTCTTGTCTTCATCGCTCCATTTATGAGGGAGCTTTGGAATCTGTCGTTCAGGAATCACGGCAGTCGTAGCTGTTTCAGGAACAGCCGTAGAAATATCAAATGGTACATATGGTTCATTTTCTATGTAGTGTGGAATTTCAGGATCCACACCTTCCAAAAAGAGGGACATTCGATTCTTCCAGAGACTGATTTTTAGTGTTAATTGTATTTATCTTGAAAGTCTATAATTGTAATATTAGCGTGTTTGACTTTGTAAGTGTTGTTGACTTTGACTAGAGGGTTTAATGTTTGACCCTATAAATACTTTGTCTTCTAGTGTAATTGTGTGGAAGGGAGCTCAATTGTAAACATACGTACACAAGAGAAACATAATCAGTGTTAACCAGTTTGACTATTTTCTCTACTCCTTCTCTATGTGTTCTTGATGAAATTATGAGATTGCCATTGATTCATGAAGATAATTGAAGATTGATCGTATTGTGGTACACAAAATTGGTATCAGAGCTGGAAATGCAGTGAAATCAAGAAGAAGAAATCAAATTTTTGAAGATTTTTCTGGAAATTTTTTAGTGTTCATCTCTTTGTTCATAAGTGTTCTTCATTTTTTCAACACTTTGATTCAAAAAAATTCAATTTTTTGTGTTTTGATGTTAAAAACATGATCAAAGTGTGCGTAATTGTTTYATGAATCTTTGTTATTCACAAAGTTTTGTGTTTTGATCATTCATTTTCAAATTTTGTTGAAATTAGTGGATTTTAAAATTTTTGGTGTTCTTGAAAAAGTTTTCAAAAAGTCAGATTTTGATCCATTTTGAGTGAAAAAGTTGTTGATTTTTGTGTTTTTGACTTGATTTGATCGGATTCTTGGTGTAAATCATTCAAAGATTAGGAGGATTTGAAGTTTATCGCTCACAATATTGTATGTGTTTATTCTAAGTCATACACAAGCAGCCAGATTTCTTACTTAACCTTTTGGCTGGATTTTATACTTAGTCTCATTTTAAGCTTGTAAT